TGGCTTTATTGGAGTGGCTTCCTTGTTGGAGGAAGTATGTCACAGTAGGGGTGGGCTTTGCAGTTTCCTATGTTCAGAATACTGCCCACTGTCTCAGTTGACTTCCTGTGGCCTGCAAGATATAAGACTCTCAGCTATTCCTCCAGCACCACGTCTGCCTGCACGCTGCCATGCTCCCCTTCATGATGATAATGGACTGAACCTCTGAGACTGTAAACCACTACACTTAAATATTTTCCTTTATAAGAATTGCCATGGTCACGGTGTCTCTTCACAGCAATAAAAACCTTAACTAAGACAGAAGTTGGTACCAGGGACTGGGGTATTGCTGTGATGTGTTTGTTTGGAGGAAAGCAGAGGAATGCTTTAAGCACTGCTTAATGGGCTGTGCTAGTAGAGTATGGAAGACAGAGGTGCTAAGAGTTATTTGAACTGTTGAGGCCTCACTCAAGAAGATTCAGAGAAGATCTTTAGTATGCCTAAGGATCTTTCTCGTGGTATTTTGGTGAAGAAAGTGGCTGCTTTTTGCTTTTGTCTGAAGACTCTGATGTATTGGGTTTCTCTTTGGGCCACCAGCTCACAAATAATAGCATGGAGACTTCTTATTGATTATGAAAGCTTGGCCTATAGCTTAGGCTTGTTCCTAACTAGCTCTTATAACTTAAATTAATCCATTTATATTAATGTATATTCTATCACGTGGCATTACCTCTCTTACATCTTGCATCTCCTGTTTCCTCTCTGTGTCTCTTGGTGTCTCCCACATGCCTAGATTCCTCCTCCTCCTCATTTCTCTCCTTGGAAATCCAGCTATTACCTCTTACATAGCTATTGGTCATTGAGCTCTTTATTAAACCAGTCAGAAGGTACCTTGGCAAAGACACATCTTCACAGTGCACAAATATTCTGCAACAGCCGGGCGGTGGTGGCACACGCCTTTAATCCCAGCACTCGGGAGGCAGAGGCAGGTGGATCTCTGTGAGTTCGAGGCCAGCCTGGGCTACCAAGTGAGCTCCAGGAAAGGCGCAAAGCTACACAGAGAAACCCTGTCTCGAAAAACAAACAAACAAACAAAAAAAAAAAACAAAAAACAAATATTCTGCAACAGTCTGATTGAGGCTAAAGTGAAGAATTTTGAATTAATTCTGTTGGCAGAGGAAATCTCAAAATAGCCTAGGATAGACTCTATCATGTGGTTTTCAGTGGTAACTCCAGTGAAGATTTATAACGAAAAGGAGCAAGCTGAGCAGGGTAAATTACAAAATGTAATTGAAGAGAAAAAGAGCACCAGGAAGTGGAATAGAGCTAAATTCTGTGTTCAAGGAGATAAATGGATTAAGAAATGTAATAAATGGTGTAATAAATGTGTAAATGGTGACCTCGGGGCAAGATCTCACCCAGCTAGTGGAAAGGAACTAAAGCTTAGAGTCAGATGTGGTGGCACATACCTCTAATCCCAGCACTGGGAAGGCAGAAGATGATGGATCTCTGAGTTTGAGGCCAGCCTGGTCTACAGAGCAAGTTTCAGGACAGCCAAGCTTAGGCAGTGAAGGACAGAAAGCTGGTAAAGATGTAATTGAATGAGGGGACCATGTTCCAGGCCCTAGCAAGCAGCAGAACTTGGCAGCTTTGACCACGTGGTTCTGGCTTTAGAGTCAAGGGATAGAAGAAACGGGTTATGAAATTTGCCTCTGTGCCTAAAGAAAGCCACTGAGGCCAGGCGTGTGTCAGGGGTGTACCTGAGTGGAGGCCTAGTAGAGAGAACATTGCATGAAGCTGTGAAGTTGACCCCAAGATGTTAGCGATGCTAGAATTGAGGGATACCTGCTGAGGAAAGCTGCTAACAGGGAGTGGAACCAGCCCAAGAGAAGTGTGTTGAAGTCAACAAAACTGAATAGATTTGGAGATCTGAAGAGTGTTTTGACATCAGACATTGGAGTTTGCCCAGCTGGTTTTTGGTCTTGCTTTGGTCCAGTATTTCCTCACTATGCTCCTTTCTCTATGTTTTGGAATGGTAACATATATTCTTTGGCACAATATTTTGGAAGTATGTTATAGATGTAACAGTCTGTCCCCCTTCCCCCCAGACCTGGTTTCTCTGTGTAGCTTTGCGCCTTTCCTGGATCTTACCCTGTAGACCAGGCTGGCTTCGAATTCACAGAGATCCACCTGCCTCTGCTGGGATTAAAGTTGTGTGCCACCACCGCCCAGCATGTAACAGTCTTATTAAATAAGAAACACAGAGCCAAATGCAGAGTTAAAAGCCCAAGAGGTCAGAGCAGTAGCTAAGAGCTGAGACTTAAAACCCTTCGCTGATGCTGCCGTCCTTCCCCTGAGAAAGAGGCCTACTTCCTGTGTGTCTGTCTTTTTACTGACTTTCTGTTCTGCCTTCTCATTGGTTGTAAACCCAACCACATGACCTCCTTGTCACTGCCTGTCTATACAGATTTCCAAGTCTTCTATGGTTTGTATTGAGATTAAAGGCATGTGTCTCCATGCTGATGGTGTCCTTGAACACACAGAGATCTGCCTGTCATGTGACCAGGATTAAGGGCGTGTGCTGCCACTGCCAGACTTCTGCTATGGCTTGCTATTACCTCTGACCCCCAGGTAACTTTATTAACATACAAATAAAAATCACATTTCAGCACAAAGAAAATATAGTATATGATCTGTTTTTTGATTTTACAGGGGATTACAGTTAAGAGATTTTGTGAGTCTCAGAAGAGACTTTGAACTTTGGACTTTTAAACATCATTGAGACCGTGATAGACTATGGGGACTTTTGTAATTGGACTAAATATATTTTGCATTATGATATTGTTACAAGCTTATGGGGGCCAGGGAGTAAGAATATGGTAGTTTGAATATAATTGATCCCCATAATCTCATAGGGAGTGGCATTATCAGGAGGTGTGACTTTGTTCACTTTCCTATTGCCTGCAAGATGTAGGACTCACAGCGATTCCTCCAGCATGCCACCATGCTCCCCTTTATGATGATAATGGACTGAACCTCAAAAACTGTAAGCAGCCACCTCAGTTCAATGTTTTTCTTTATAAGAGTTGCCATGGTTATCATGTCTGTTCAGAGCAATAAAAACCCTAAGACAGTAGTCCTGAAACTTTCTCTCTAGACCAGGCTGGCCTTGAACTCAGAGATCTGCCTGCCTCTACCTCTGTCCCCCAAATGCTGGGATTAAAGATGTGTGCCACCATAGCCCCACATTTTGGATTCTTCTTTTTTAAGATTTTTAATTATGGTATGTGTTTGTGTGGCAGAAGGGCAGGGTTATGTGTGCCTGCAGAGCCCAGCAGATGATGGTGGATCTCCTGAAGCTGGAGATCTAGGATGAATTACCAGTATAATAGATACAGTATGAATATATAGGTTTGGATATATCATAGAAAATAAATGTACCATTGTGAGCCACAGGATGGAGGCACTGGGAACCAAACTTAGGTCCTCTGCAGGAACAGGAGGAGTTGTTAACTGTGGAGCTATTTTTCTAGCCCCTCGTGGATTCTTTATAATTCAATATATTATTATATTATAAACTTCTGCAGTGTGCATAATAAACATAACCATTTAAAATATTTAAAATTTTTATTTTGTATATCCCCCAATTTGAACAGAGGAATCTTTTCATAGTGGCTCAGGTGTCTCTTTGGCTGGGTACAAACAATTTACAAGCACTTTATCCAAGAGGACACATGCTAGGATTTCTCTCGGCTTTCTTTGGTCTGGCTATGCTAACAGCCGTTTCTCAGCAGAGAAATGTCATAGTGGATAACAGTTTTCACCAAGATCCGAGCATTGCCTGTGTCCATGGCCACTGGGAAGAATCAGTATCAGTATAACGGATACAGTATGGATAGATGGGTTTAGATACATCGGAGAAAACGAACAGTAAACATACAGACGCATAATGCACGCACAGACACCCTGCTGCCTCTCTAATTCCAATGCAGTACCACACTGCCGTGTCCTTTGGATCCTGCTTTGTGTGATGGTCAGCCTAAGTCTCTTTTAGAAACCAACACTTGTGATGAACTTGAAATATTCAAGAGCCAGTCATGCAAAACTCTAGAAACAGATGTTTAGAGTCAGAAGGAAGAGCAAGCACAAAAGCCCGAGGCGGAAACAAACAGTGTTTGAGAAGCAGACCAGCCAGTGTGGCCGGATCGTGCCGACTTCCCGAAGAGAATGGTTTGAAACGAAATCAACCCCTCAGGAAGGAAATGCTGTATATGAAGCTGTGTACGATAGAACAAAGATGCTTAGAAGTATTTTAGTAAACTATGAAGATGCCGCAAGGTTTTAAGAAGAGGCTGTGGCCGGGCGTTGGTGGCGCACGCCTTTAATCCCAGCACTCGGGAGGCAGAGCCAGGCGGATCTCTGTGTGTTCGAGGCCAGCCTGGGCTACCAAGTGAGCTCCAGGAAAGGCGCAAAGCTACACAGAGAAACCCTGTCTCGAAAAACCAAAAAAAAAAAAAAAAAAAAGAAGAGGCTGTGGTGACTTTTTTTTTTTTTTGTCTCAAAAGATGACTTTGGTCATTGTATAAAGAGTGAACTGTTAAAGAAGAAGCACAGATGATGAGGAGACTTGTGGTAATCTAGGCAAATGGACGACATCGATGAGGGTAGCAGCAGATGATGCAGAAAGAAAAGAACAAATTGGTGTCCCTGAAGGTAGAGACGTACTGATTCTGAATCCTCAAGTGAATTCTGGATGTATATGTCTATTGCATGCTGTCCTTGCATGAAGTTCTCAAGTCAAAATATCAAGCAAAGATACAAGTGGGCTGGAGAGATGGCTCAGTGGTTAAGAGCACTGGCTGCTCTTCCAGAGGACCCAGGTCAAGTCCCAGCACCCAGATGGTGGCTCACAACTGTCTGTAACTCCAGTTCCAGGGGATGACACCCTCATACAGACATACATTCAGGCAAAACACAAATGCACACAAAATAATAATAAATAATTTAAAAATAAAAACCAGTAAGGGCTAGAATCACTTTATGGTAAAGAACAAGAAAAGCAAGATTAGTAAGGACATGGTAGGAGGCTCAGAAGTTCACAATTCAGATTCAACTTCCCCTGATTTCACTGGATACCAGGTTCCAAAAGAGAAAAAGTCATTCAATATCATACTGAAGGCTGCGGATGCCGACCTCTGCATTTGTTTGTGTAAACATTTCCTTAATGCTGTCATCTTTTTGATTGCTACAAAATGTCACATTCATTGTGTTTCCAGGCCATTCTTCTAATGAAATGGTTGACAGGTATGCCAACACCTTTTCTGCCAGGGGTTCCCCAAGTAAAGGCTCTGGGGGATGCTTGGCTCCTAGAGAATCGTCGGAAAACCAGTCATCAGCTGCTTCCACACTTTGGCTGCAATAAGAACTAGTGACTGACGTTGACAAGCTCAGTGTCACACTGCTGCCATTTGCTCCTGAGGTCATCTCAGGCAACTCACGGTCAGCGGGGTCTGGAAGGCAGACTTCATCTTCAGAGTTGACGGCTGTTTAAAAAAAAAAAAAAGCCTACTATTACATATTGACAAGTCAAGTCATCTTTTCTTTCTTTCTTTCTTCTTTTTTTTTTAAATACAGGGTTTCCTCTGTGTAGCCCCAAAACTCACTCTATAGACCAGACTGGCCTCAAACTCAGAGACTGCCTCTGCTTCTCGGGATCCGGGATTAAAGGTGTGGACCACCATGCCCGGCTTTTTCAAAATGACTATGTATTTATCTATTTATTTATTTGTTTTGGTTTTTTTGAGACAGGGTTTCACTGTGAAGCTCTGGCTGTCCTGGAACTAGCTCTGTAAACCAGGCTGGCCTCAAACTCAGAGATCCACCTGCCAAGTGCTGGGATTATAGGTGTGCACCACCATGCCCAACAGACAAGTCTTAATTAAGAGTATTTTTAGGGCTATCATGGGTAAGACAATGCTAGAAGGGAAAACACCAAGTTGCTATCATCTGTACAATATTAAATATATGATATTTAAGTATTCTAATCCAGGAAAATATTCTAATTAGGTCAGAAACCTCAGTTCTACAGTGTACCTTTAAAAAGTTTCTTAGAGCCAGGAGGTGGTAGCACACACCTTTAATCCCAGTACTTGGGAGTCAGCGGAGGTGGATCTTCAAGTCTGAGGTCAGCCTGGTCTACAGAGTGAGTTCCAGGACAGCCAGAGCTGTTATACAGAGAAACTCTGTCACGAAAAACCAAAAACCAAAAACCAAAAACCAAAACCAAAACCAGACAAAAAAAATTCTGGTACCACTATAGAAAACCACAACCAATCAAAACTCAGCATTGTCGAGCACAGTCCCAATGGATACGTCTATAAAACACTCCAAGACCTAAGGCTCAGGGAACACTGTGGAAAAGGGAGTGGAAAAACGACAAAACCCAGAGGATCTGGGGGTTTGCCGTGACAGTGTGTCTGAAGCTGCACCCATGAAGTCTCACCAACATGATGGCCCAAGCATGAGCTGAACACGGATGTCACCTATGGGCATGTCAAAGTGGATGGGAACAGCCCCCAAGGCCTCAACCCTACACGAAGAACTATAGGAAGCAGAGGGAAGCTGGGTGCAGGAGAGATGCTCTTCCCCGGGAAGAGCACACCAGTTGGTTGTCCAATATCAGATGGTCAGTCCTGGAAACACAAGTAATGCTCCAGGGACTGAACAGGTTGTGCTTAGGAACATATATGGATAGCCATATAAATATTTGCAGACAATAACAATGAAAAAAGAGGAGGTCATGGATTTGAAGGAAATTGGGGAGAGATCCATGGGAGAATTTGCAGAGAGGAAAGGGAAAGGAGAAATGTAATTATAATTGTTTTTTTAAGCGGTGTCCCGGGCCTGGAGAAATAGCTCAGTGGTTAAGAACACACATTGCTCTTGGGGAGGACTTAAGTTAGTTTCCCAGCACTCTAGTCACGTGGCTTACATCCACCTGTAACTCCAGCTCTAGGAGATCTGACACCTTCTTCTGGACTCCATGGGTGACTAAACTCACTTACACCCTCCCACCCCCACCATTAAATTTTTTTTTTTTCAGATAGGGTTTCTCTATGTAGTTTTGAGTGGCGTACTGGCCTTTAACTATGTAGACCATGCTGGCCTAACTCAGAGAGATCATCTTTTCTCTTCCTCCCAAGGTGCTCGGGTTAAAGGCATGCACCATCAAGCCTGCCTTAATCTTTTTTGTTTTTTTTTTTAACTTTTATTCTTTGTGGATTTCACATCATGTATTTCGATCCCACTTACCTCCCTGTCCCCTTGCATCCGCCCTCTTGCAATGCCCACCCCCCAACAAAACCAAATTTAAAGGAAAAACAAAATCCAAGCAATACAAAGAAACAGAACAAAAATAAAAACAAAAACAAACAAACAAACAAAAAAGAAGAATCTTGTCGTGGAAGCTGTGGTGTGGTCTCTTGAGACACAGTTCACCCTTTAGTCTGTTCGTCTTTACTGGCAAGTGTTCATTACCACTAGTCATTGGTCTGGCTCGAGGCCTCTGGTTTCTGCTACACCACCGGTCATGGGCTCTCCCTGGGCTTCCTCTTGGATATTCTGTTGTGGTCCTGTGTCATGGAGATCCTGCTATTTTTTGTATCTGTAGGTTTGTCTTAACAGTTCATAGATCTGGTGGATGTTGGGGTGGGCCAGCTCGTAGTCCTGGTTCCGGGTCTGGGTGGTAGCTGGGTTGGTCTGCTCGCTAGCTTTTCCTCATCATCATCACTACCTGGATAAGCTCTTTCTTCAGCGTCACCTTGGCTAGCTCACCCAATGCAGCCTACAGCAAGGAGGGGCGGGGGAGTTCTCCTGTTCTGGGGTCCTCACATCTGGGTCCCCCACATTCACATCACCAGAGCCGGCTCTACTGTTTTGTCCAGGCAAGGTGCAGGACCCTCTACCCCGATTGCTGTAGGGAACATGGAGGGGCCTGGGGTCAGCTCTCCTGCTCTCGGGGCTGGCTCACCTGTGACCCCGACAACAGGGTCAGCTCTAGTGTGCTGCCCAGGCAGAAATCAGAGGCTGCTTTCTCTGCAACCCGGTGAGAGTCAGAGCTAGCTCTCCTACTCTTGTGACCCCAGGGTCACCTCTCTCACTTGCCACAGGAGGTAATAGGTGGGTGGGGAGGGCGTCTTTCTCTCACCCATGCTACCACATGGGAGATTGGGGGAGGGGGCGGGGTCAGCTCTCCTAATCTCATGCCCTCAGGGTCGGCTCACCTGTGTCCCCGACCACAGGGTCAACTCTAGTGTGCTTCCCAGGTGAGGTGCACACCCATAGTGAGGGGTGGGGCCATCTTTCCCGAATACAGGGGCAAGCTGTCCCCTGAGGGGTAGGGACAGCTTACCTGCTGCAGTCCAGCAAGGGTCAGGGCCAGCCACCCCAGGGCCAGTGAAGGGCAGGGATGGCTCAGCACAGCATGGTTCCAATGACCTCCATGCTAACACAGTCCGTGGACATCACTACAGACCCCAGTTGCAGCAGGACCATGGACCCAGACATGGCCCTGAGCAGCAGCTCTGACTCAGATGCCACCACGGCCCAGCAGCCCCATGGCCCTCGGGCATCAACATGGTCCCAGGTTGCTGGCCAGACCCCGGGCATCTGCAGAGGCCTTGGTGTCAACTGGAGCCATGGACACCACCCCAGATCCTGACCTCCCCAGATCCATGGACCCAGACATGGCCCTAGGCAGTGGCCTGTGCCCAGACATCTCCATGGCTCCAGGTGGCAGCACCATAATTTTTTTTAAGCTTAATTTTTTCCTTAATGATTTATAGTTGAATATTGCATTTTTTTATATCAATGAGTGGGATTATAAATAAAAAAAGCCATTTGGTCCACAGTGAGTGGTAAGAATCCATGCATGGAGGCATTGCTTCTTTTTAAACTTTCCTTCTTCCTTCCATCTTTCTTTCCTTCCTTCCTGTCCTTATTTGTTTATTTGCTTGTTTATGTATGTATGTATGTATGTATGTATGTATGTATGTATGTATGTATCTTGAGACAGAGTCTCTCTACATAGGTGTGGCTGTCCCAGAACACACTGTATATCAGGCTGGCCTTGAACTGATAGAGATCCTCCTGCCTCTGCCTCCTGAGTCCTAGGATTAAAGGAATGTGCTACCAAGACCAGCTTTGAATTAAAAAAAGAAATATTTATTTTGTTTTGTGTGTGTGAGTCTTGGTGTTCTTGGAGGTCAGAAGAGGGTGGCAGATCTCTTGGGGCTGGAGTTATGGAAGGTTGTGAGCTGCCATGTAGGTGATGGGAATCAAACCCTGGTCCTCTAAAAGAGTAGCTGATTCTCTTAACTGCTGAGCCATTTCTCCAGCCCCAGTAGGTATTTCTACAGAGCTTTGTGGTCTACAAAGCATCTTTTCATCCCAGATCTTACTATTATCTGAACAATTCTTCAGGGAGTTATTGTTGGTGCCACTTCACAAACGAGCAAACCGTGACACAGAGAAACCACCCACCATCAATTAGACACAAGGTGGATGTCAACCTAGATAGTAAGTTGCGTGCTTTTCCTATTAGACTCCACAGTGGACACTTTAAAATGTGTGTGGCTGGGAGTGTTGGTGCGATCCCTGCCCTTGGGAGGCCAAGGCAGATCAGAGTTAGAGACCATTGCTCCAGGCCGGCTAGTGGTAAGTAGTGAGATTCTGTCCCCAAACAAAACAAACAAAGCCAAAAATGAAAAACAACATTAAAAAAAAAAAAAAACAAGTAAAACCCCCCAAAACCCAAAAGTTAAGTTTTAGAAAATATCACAAAATTCCTAAAATACATTTTATAAGACTTTACATGTTAATCTTTTAACATATTTTTTTCACATTAAATTCAAAATTGTTTAAAATATATTCTATATTCGTTCCTAAAATTACATAGGACAAGTTTTGAGATATAAAGACATGGCATAAACATCTAAATACCCAAAGTTTTTGTCCCATACCCTGACTCATTTCAACCCTCGGCTTTACTGCATGGTCACCATTATGCCTTTGAATTCAAATAAGAAAAATTTTTTTTCACATTTTAAGACAGGTTACTACATTTTCTTTTCTTAAAAAAATATGCCAATTCACATACTAGTAGATTGATATTTCTTTTGAATTTTCATGGAACATAAATAAGATTTAGGATAGCCTCTTGATTCTTTAAGATTTAAGAAAATATTTGCTACACAAATACTTCTAACAATTTCTTGAAAATAAAAAGTACCTTTTATTTGTGTTGTTTCCCTTTCTCTTTTCTCCGCCTACAAAAAAGTCATTTGCATTTTTTAAAAACAAAGCAAATTTGTATAGCTTCTATAATATATTTATATATTTATATTAGTAAGAGATGCAATATTACGAATTTTTGATAGAAATGTTTTTTCTACAATATGTTCTTTTTTCTCCCAAAATATTTTAACAGAAAAGAAAACCAGTTATTTGAAAATCTGGAGAGATGGCTTGTCGGCTAAGAGCATACACTGCACAGTATTCCTTTTCCACCCCTGTGACACCTGGTCCACTCTGAGAGACTGCATCGTCCACTCACGTGAGTGAGGCGCCTGCAGGAGCTCTACCTCCTAAGGCTCCTGCCACCTCAGTGCTGTCCTTCGAGGACCAGTCTTTGAGCTCATGACCATCCGGGAGACGGGCCACCTCTAAATGTTGGGAGCAACTGAACTGCATCTCAATGAAGCTGTTATGTGCAAAACAAAAGTATTCTGAAAATAAAGCTTTTCAAAGAGAAAGCAAATATAATCCTTGAGCTCTATTGTTAGTCTGACTTTTGGAACATTTTATTAACAGTATGACCCAAGAAATAAAAACAGAAATTAAGCAGGGTGGTGGTGGCGGTGGCTCTTGCCTTTAATCCCAGCACATGGGAGGCAGAAGCAGGAGGATCTCTGAGTTGGAGGCCAGTCTGGTCTACAGAGAGAGTTCCAGGACAGCCAGGGCTACACAGGTTCACCACCACCTCCCGGCTCCACAATATATGAAGAACTCTTAATTTCAATGTTAAGAAAATAATCCAATTAGAAAATATAAGAGATTTAAAGATATGAAAAGATATGCCAAACCACTTACTGGGAAATAAAAATTGAAATATATATATATATATATATATATATATATATATATATATATATATTATGTTGTCTTATACAGAGAGGAACATGGATCTTGCCTTGGTGTGGACTACTTCTGACTGATCTGGGTAGTGGCTGCTAAAGGCTTGGATGGCTATGGAGACTTTTTTATTCTTATTATATTTGTGTGTGTGTGTGTGTGTGTGCACTCACGTGCTTGCTTCCGTGCAATTGCACACACGTAGAGGTCAGAAGACCCCTTTTTGGACTTGATTCTCTCCTTGCACTGTGTGTATCCTGGGGACAGAACTGAGGTCATCAGACAGGGTTGCAAGCACCTTTACCCACTGAGACATCTTACTGGCTCCAAATTTCTTAGAGTAAGATAATGAAGGGGCTGGGGTGGCGCTAGTGGTGGAACGCTTGCCTAGCATGCACAAGGCACTAGCACTGCAGGTCAGGATTGAACATACACATGCTCATGCATGCACACCTACCCCCACCCCCAACATGGGTTGGTCACCATAGATGACTCCTCTTTTCATTAAATCTTTTTCTGTAGCATGGAGAACTTTACCTTGTTGCTATTCTGTCATCTACATTTATGTAATATTCTGAATTCTTTTGTTGTGGTTTCAACAATGTTCATCGCATCTAAATCAGGGGTAAACCCCATCTCAAGAAACCACTTTGGAGAGATTCTGGGTTTGACGGAGGACTAGACGCTGCTTCAGTGTGATCAAGTGAGGAAGAACTGTGATGTGTAAGCACAGAGAGTATGCCAAAGAACAGAAGCGAGGGAAGAGCTTCACCACAAGAGGTGCTGGGCCAGCGGTGAAGTGTGGAGAACCAGGAGGGGGAGGCATCAACCCGAAGGCCAAGCCCAACACAGCTCCACCTCCAGGCTCCCAGCAGAGGGAGGGGAAGCAGAAGCTTCTTCCAGCAGGTCATCCAGGGGGTCCTGGCGAGAGGCCACTGGCATTCCTGCTCACAGGCTACATTCACAGCTCTCGCAAACCTCAAAACCAGTGACTTCTCTTGTGGGATGGGTCAGCAGTGGGAAGGGATTTCCCTGACTCAAAGGGCTGAGGCTGAGTGTCATCTTTAGAGGGGACATACTGTTTAAAACCGAACTACCCTTGGGTCCTGAGAACAGAAGCTAATTATGTCAGCGGCCTGAATTCAATCTGTCACAGCCCCAGCCTGAGAGACGGCTGTAGGAGGCCACTGTAGGGTGTGGAAGGCACACACTGAGAAGCCCCAAAGGGCAGGCGTCTGTTAGCTCCGCCAGTGGTCCCTGGGGGCAGATATTATCAATATAACTTGGAAGTCAGCAGGCAAATCAACTTCTGGAGTCACCTGTCTGCGTGAGGTTAACTACTGTCGAGTCTGTGCACCTTGAAACTCCAGCTAGCGCTTTTCTAGAGGACCCAGGTTCCCAAGTCAAGTGACTCAACAACCACCTGTAACTCCAGCTCCGGAGGATTTGAACCCTCCGGCTAAGACCACGCACACATGTGCCTGCACACAGACAATTAAAAGTCAAGATTTATTTTAATTTACAATTTTGTGTATGTGTGCCTCTCTGTATGTGTGCAGTACTCACAGGGGCCAGAAGAAGGCATTGGATCTCTGATCCTCTGCAATAATGCCATGTGCACCCAGCCATCTCTCCAGCCCTGCTAAGTGGATTTTGAGAAGATGAACACGGGTTTGCCTGTATGGAGCTCAGTGCTATGGATGCTTCCCCTACCTCTGGTGAAACAGGCAGAAAGAAACCACTCAACTGGAACCTTCACCATCTAGAGGGTATGAATTGGGAACTCTTGGGATGGTGGGAGACTCTGTCCAGCTCACAGACTGAAAAGGCTAAGTGTGTCCAGCAGATGCCTGTGGTACCCAGAGAAGGAACACTACTGACGTGCAGATGGCCCTGGCTGACATCAGACATTCGTACAGTACTGACTCCTCAGCACCAGCATAAATCACGGTCAACAGAGCTCAGATCCACAGTTTAACCGGCCCCAGCCCTAGACACATATTCAACATCATACGTGCATGGAGAACTGTGACGACTGTGAGCAGTTACTCTGCTTCTCTTCTAATGGTGAATGCTAAAAACACTGAGAGCAGCCAGTGTTGATGTGGATGCATGGTGAAAGAATGGTTCTCCTTCCTGGCCAGTGGGGATGCAACATAGACAGTTTCTCATAAAACCACACATACAATATGATTAATAACAATTCTCTCTGGTATCTTCCCAAGTGAGTTGAAAAGTCATGCCCATACAAAAGCCTCCACAAAAGTGTTTGTAGCACCTTCGCTCATAATGGCCCAAACTTTGAAGCAACCAGGATGTCCTTCTGTGGGTGAAAGGACAAACTGAGCTGATAGTTCCTTTTTCTTCTATCTTGACTGTAGTCTATCTAGGTCTGGGATCACTTCTTTTTGTCTGTGTAGGCTCCATGGCAAAACAGTGTTGCCAGATGGTTACTAGACACGTGGTTGCTAAGTTCAACTTGAATTCAAGGCGAAGGCTGTGTAACCAAGGCCTGCCATCTTATCTGTCATCAGTCTTTATCTGAGTGCCGTCAGCCCATCAATTCCTTTGTTTAGCTCGGCTCTGTCATAGCTTTCCATTTTTACCTTGCCATGCTCTACTTTGTCCTTCTGATGCTGTTTTGACACAGAACATTGTTAATTGTGGTCCTGCTTTTCTCATCAGTACCACACAAGCATCTTGAAAGTAGGGGCAATATCTTAATCTCCCCAGCAGGGGAGGGGCAAGATCTTCAAATATAATATGATATGGATTAGTAGATCTTTACCAAATTGAATTAAATTACACTTAAGTGGTTTGGTCGGGCTATCTGGTTATCTGAGCATTTCTTATCTCCAAATTTCTTTTTTTCTTCTAGTCCCAAGAATGTTTTTGCATGCACCCCCCCCAACAGGCCATTATCTTTGTCCCTCTTCTAAGCCTAGTATGGAGAGTATAGGGTTTTGTTTGTTTGTTTTTTGCTGAAAGGTATATAAAAGCAACTGGAGATAGAATATATTTTCATTTAATTTTTCTGTTCTTTTAAAAACTTTATCACCCTCCAGAATATAAAAGAAAACCAGTTTTCCTATTGTATGAACCTTTGGTTTGGATAACTTAAATTTTAGCTCCATGCTTTTGTATCTTAAACTAAAACATAATAATAGTGGGTCTATTAGCCTTCTAATGGAAAGACAAAATGCTGGTAACATGGTCTAGGGATCTCCAAGGAGTCTGTCTTAAAACATGACGCTACCTGTGGTTGAGGTTGGCCAGCATGAAAGTTTCGGGAAATGAAAACACACTGAGAATGAGATTTAATCTTCGGTTTGGATGGTCTTTGCTTCAGCTTTTCATCAGCTAATTTAACTTGGGAACCTTGAAATATTTCCCTGGAAAACATTGTACAGAAAATATTATTAAACAGGAATCAGATTATATGATTATATATGCCAATTGAGATAATCATCTCTAACACTTTTACACAGGAGTTTGAAGTCAGAATGTTGCAGACCTTTAAAAGCAGCCATCCAGCCTCGTGGACTGAGCAGCTACTGGGTTCTTAGACTTTCCTTTGAGAGACAACCATTGTTGGACTAGTCAGACTCTAACCTGTGAGACATTCTAATAAACCACACACACACACACACACACACACACACACACACACACACACATACACACATACACACACATACATATACACACATACATATACACATATATAATGTATGTGTATAAAACCATATATATGTACATATAAACAATATATACAATATATACACATTATTATATGGTATATAATATATAATATACATATACACATATATATTCATTATATCAGTTCTGTTTCTCTTGATAACCCGGACTACTAACAGTATTTTAAAAAATGATGCCAGAGAATGAACACTATTCAGTGATACAAAGAAAGGAGTCATCAAGCCACAAAAAGACACAGAGAAGAGCTGGACATAGTGACTCACTGTCTAAGAAAAAGTCTGAGAAGGCTACATTCTGTATGATTTGACATCTGGTTGCAACTCTATGAACTCACTCTGGAAAAGACTGAACTACTGAGACCTGGAAAGACCAGTGATCGCCAGGGTTTAGGGAGGGGGAGGGGCGGATAGATGAAGCACAGAGGAATTTTAGGGCAATGACAAAACTCTGGCTGATACTGTAACTGTATGTGCAAGTCACTCTACATTTGTGAAAACCATGAAATATACATGAAGAGGAAATCTTCATGTCAGATGGATGTTAACAACCCGTTGACATAAGTTCTTCAGTTTTAACTCCCCCCAAACAATAATAATGGGGCCATCTATTTTTCCAGAGGTACTAGAAGTTTCCAAGTTAGTTCTAGAGATCATCACATTGGATTCCTTCATAAGACATGAACAATTAAGATCCAGTCACTCATTGAATTCAATCCACTGAACAAGCATTTAACCTATATGTCAGAAATGTTGGATGTTGAATATTTAAGAGTGTGCTGGGGGCCTGTACTAATAAGGAAGATAGACACTACGAGAAGATGAATTATGGCTGTGGGAAGTGCCTTTGAGGGAAGTTACCAGGTGCTGTGTGTGAGTTTGTACAAAGGGAATCAACCTGGCTAGGGTGGTCGTGAAGGGTTTCCCGAGGAAAGGGTGATTGAACTAGGCTGCTAAAGAGTAAGACTAGCGGTTAGGTCAAATCTGGTAGAAAGGGAGAGATGTGGAAGAGACGTTATTCTAGGCAGATGAAATATCAAACACAAAGCTATGAGGGCCGGAGTTCTACCATGAAGGAGAAACACAAAAAACAAGACAGAAAATAGAAGACAGAGTGAGGAGTGTGAAGGGGCAGATCACGTGGGGCCTGAAAAGACAGGCCACTTGGGTTTCTCCTCAAACCAATGGGAAGTCCTCTGAAAAACAGTGGGCATGGGAGAGAAGAGGCGAGCGATCTGATGAGATTTGCATGTGGGAAACATATGGCTGAAGTGTGGAGAAGACATGAACTTGACATTGAAGGCAGGGTCAGCTATGAACCCCGGTGCAGCTGTCCCAGTGGAGGATGAGGAAGATGCGAAGGGTACAGCAGCGGCTGACGGAATGAAATGGATGTGAGCCGTTTACAAGGGGGAAAAATTGAACTTGGCGATAGTTCAAGTGTGTTAGGGTGGGAAACAAGAGAGACCTGTCGGGGTGTCTTCTGCTTTGAGAAGAAAAGCATCCCTTCTTTGACTCTTGTTACGATGACTCACATCTGAAATGTCACCCACAAACTCATGCTTTGATGACGCTGCTTGGGGGAGGCTGCGGGACCCTTAGGAAGTGGAGCTTGATAGCTTTCTACTTTCTGGCCCACAGATGCCACACACTCCTGCATCTCTGAATGCATCTGTGAATCCGTGCCTTTCCCACTGTGGCAGGCTGGAATCTCCTGAAACCACGAGCCAAAATAAGCCGCTCTTCCCTTAAGTTATTGTGTCAAGTATTTCAGCCACTGCGATACAGAAGCACCTGATACAATTCTATGTGCACCTCCAGCTACTGTCCCCTGTATTAGTTTTCTAAACACACACATACACACACACACACACACACACACACACACACACACACACACACTCCTCTTGAAAGAGACATCTATACTTTTCTCAATTTTCTCACATTTCATTGTCCTCAAGGATCAACTTTGGAAGCTATCATTGCACTAACACTTCATTAAGGTTACCAGTGACCTCCACCTCCCGAAATCAAAGAGTCACTTTTTTGTCCTCATCATCCTCAGCTTCAGGATTTCAGTATAACTGGATCACATCTCCTTCTTGTAATATTTTTAAATTTCTACTCCCTTGACTATCCACCCTCTGGGTTCTTCTAAGATACTGATTTTCTCTAATTAGCTGCTAAGTTTCCAAATGCAGGTAGTGTGAAGGGCACAGCCACAGGTCATCTTCCTTCCTTCCTTCCTTCCTTCCTTCCTTCCTTCCTTCCTTCCTTCCTTCCTTCCTTCCTTCCTTCTATTTCACGACAGGGTTTCTCTGTGTAACCACCCTGGCTGTCTTGGAACTCGCTCTGTAGACCAGGTTGGCCTCAAACTCGCAGAGATCTGCCTGTCTCTGTCTCCCGGGCACTGGTCTAAAGGTGTGCTCCACGGCCCGGCTGCCATAAGTCATTTTTTCATCAACCACTCCCTGGTTGGTCTCATCCAGTTCTATGACTTTGGAATCTCTATACCTAATCTTCCATTGTGGCTTCTCAGTTTCTACCAGCACACCCAATTGCAACACAGCATTCCCATTCCGGACTTTAAATAGGCTTTTAAACTCATGTTGAACACACAACTCCTAGTTTATCACACACACACACACACACACACACACACACACACACACACACACACACACACCACCGATCCCCTTTATGATAATTTCCCCATCCCAGAAAATGGCAGGACCCACTCAGCTGCCTGAGACAAAATCCCAGGTGTCAGCCTTCACGCTGCCGCCTCACTCTTCTTCCTCACGTCACTCATTCTATCAAGTCCCAACTCCACCTGGGAAACACATCTCAGGCCCAAACCCTTCTTTTGTCTCCTCTAGTCGTATTAGTTCAAAACAGCCTCAGTTCTCATGGATGAAAGCTAGGCTGCTCATTTGCTCACCTACTCTCTCGTTGCTCCAGTCAGTTCCAGGCTCTACAGAGGAACGTCATTTGAAAATACAAGCCAGAACTGTCATATCTAGTTATTAAGAATGCATGTTCATTTTTATCAGCAGTCTCTTAAAAAGCAATCATGTGCTGGGCATTGTTGGCACATACCTTTAATCCCAGCACTCGGGAGGTGGAGGCAGGTGGATCTCTGTGAGTTCGAAGCCAGCATAGTCTACATGTGCTATTATGTGCTAAGCCATCTTGTTGGCCCTTAGGAAAATTTGCACAAGGTGTTTTTAATAAATCTTATTATTTGAACTCAAGTCTCAGATTTAACACAAACTCCTTGTACAGGCCCCCTGGTACACCTTTTATGTTTGCTCATTTATCTGTCTCCTGTCCCGTCTAGGAAACAAAAAACTTTCTGTCTTGTTCACAGTTGTGTCCTGAATTCCAATAACAATGGAAGACAGTTAACAGATATTTCCTTTATTATTTATGTTTTATTGTGCATTAACAAAATATTTGTTGAAACAATGAACAAATGAATACTTTCTGACTTGTGCATGGTACAGAGACAGCTGCTGAGGTAAGATCTCTAGGAGAAAATGTGGGAAGACGATCTTACCATTTATATTTTTAAAATACCAGAATGCAAATTCTGAGCTCATGAAATAAGTAGAAACACAAAATTTTAGAGTTGAAAAGAAGAAGGTGTCAAATAATCTTTTGTGTGTTTCTGGAGGGAGAGCATTTTCAGACCACATCAGAGCACTCTGTCAGTTCTCTTGGCTCCTAAAGAAAAGGGGATCTTGCCCTTCAGTCATGTGCTAACCTCCAAACTGGCAGGGTCTCCCCTAATTTCTAGCTTTAGATTATAATCAGAACCAAGTCTTTCAGTAAGTAAAATAGGACTTGTTAATCCCTCAAATTTTTTTCAGCACACAAAGATTGCTGTTATATTGCTCCAATCCTTCTATCAGGCTATTTAATGCATGCAGTCTTTTCCAACCACAGGATCTCCAACCAAACCCCAGACTGTAGAATCAATTCCATCATAATGATTTAAATTTAATAGTTGTGGAAAGAGTCCTTCATTGAGTTTTCAGGTAAACTTTCTAATAAACCTTACCTTCGTTTGCAAATCAGGAACCACAAAGCAGATGCCAAAGCAAAGAAACCAATTCCCAGACTAACGGCACCAGCAGCCAGAAAATAGATTAAGTAATTAATAAAACCTGTACAAATAAATGATAAAAGATCATTTCGTGCACATGTCTCAGTTCATTAGGTAAATAAGTGAGGTGATATTTACAATGATATAATATGTTATATTAAGACTGACCAAGGAATCTGAGAGCCTGAATTCTAGTCCTATACAATCCAAACAAATGGGAGGACCCAGAGTTAGGGAACAGCATGGGATGCATCATGGATGGAATTGGGAAAGCGTGCAGGGATCTCACTTTAGAGATGGCACAGTCGGAGCCCATGGCACAGAAGTAACTGAGCCAAAGCTGAACAGCAATTGACACAGTGTTCTGATTTTTTCTATTTTCTTTGCTAGCAAACATCTCCCAGCATCTCATCAGGTAGCTCACCACCATCTGTAACTCTAGCTACAAAGGGTCCCATGCATCTTGCCTCCAAAGATACCTGTATCACCTGCACATATCCACATCTAGGCGAGAAAAGAAAAACAAACCTTTAAAAATCTTATTTCTTTTAGGACTGGGCATGGTGGCACAGGCCTTTAACCCCAGAACCCAGGAGGCAGAGACAGGACAATCTCTGTGAGTTCGAGGCCAGTCTGGTTTACATAGTGAGTTCCAGGGCAGCTAGGGTTATATAGAGAAACCCTGTCTCAATAAAATAAAATAAATAATTTAAATTTTACATGTATTTATTTAGTGATGGGATCTCAAAGAATAAATTAAAATAAAAAATGAAAAGGAAATAGTTTTAATGTGCTGAAAATAAAGATAACACTAGAAACTTAAAAAAGAGAGAAAATGGCGAAATGGCCAATAATCATGTAAAAACTTTACTAATTATAAATGTAGTATACATTAAACCACAAATAAAATGCTATGAAGGCTACACCCAATATATAATGTGGAAAATGAAAACGACAAAATTTAAACTGTTGACAAGGGAACAGGAATCCGAAAGTCTTATTCACTGACGGAGGGAATACAATTTGGGAGAAGCTCTGGGAAACTGGCTGCATTATTAAGCTGAATAGATGTACACTCTACAATTCAGCAATTCAACCAATGAGAACACACACAACTCAGGTCCACACACATGTTAATGAAATCTGTAGCAGAGTCTTTAGAGCAGGGTGATTTGAGGTAGCCCAACATTTGGGAAATGTGTATTGTGTATTGAGACTTCAGCAAACTCAGCACTCAATACTTAGCAAGACATCAAATTTATGATGGCCATTATCTGTGGATGAACAAGAGAAATACAAACTGACTTTTAAATGTTCCATCCTTCAAATGATACACAGCTAATATGACAAAAATGTTCATTTAGGAGATTTTGTGGGTCTTTGTTACTGTCCTTTTTTTCTATTTCATTCTTTTGACTTTTCTCTACTATTTAAACATTGTAAAAAATAGAATGTTCTAAATTTTGAAACAAAAAAGATGGAAAAAGAATATTTACATAAGGAAAAATGTCAATGGCTGTTACTGGGCACAGGCTTCTAGAAACTTTTCTACATTACCACATTCCTTCCCGGGGTAGAGTACTTCCTTAATGTAAGTAAGCTCCTGGGGGTAATCCCCAGCAATAGTAAAAAACCGAGACTCGGGGAAAGAGGGACAAAATCAACAAGTTTATATTAATCTTATAGCCAAGTGAAAAATTTGAAGCATAAATTAATATATTAAAAATGAAGAACACAATTACAGACACAACGGAAGTGGGAATAAGAAAATGCTATCAATAATGAACATTAATAAATTTAAAGATTATTAAAATAATGAATACCTAAAAAAATAAATTTCTAAAAAGTGAATCAAGACGTGAAGAACCTCCTGTGCTGACCACGCTCCAACAGTGAACGTTCCTAAGACCTGCGGGAGTTTCTGATTGAAACGCGGCTAGCACCGGCCCCACAAAGAGACACAGCACGAGAAGGGCGAGGATTCTTTGTTTGCTCAGGGAAAGGCGTTATGACCGGAAGCCGAGTGGCTACGATGGACAGACTAAGACTATTTTCCACAAAAAAAAAAGGTTAAAACCCCACGGAAGATTGTGCTGAGGCCTGAGTGTGCTGAGCCCAACTGCAGGTCTACGAGGGCACTGGCGAGCAAGAGATGCGAGCGTTGTGAACCCGAGGCTAAGAGAAAGTAATTTGGTTCTAAGCTGATTTTGTTAGGAAGACAATAAAATCATGAGCTTTTACTCAAAATAAGAAGAAAGGGGATAAAAAAGAAAGAAGTAACAGAAAATCCAAGGGAACACAAATTCGTTACATTGAAGCAGCAGTTACAAATTTCCCCCAAAGTAATTGGTGGTCCCCAAAAGGTTACAATTTCTACTTGTATACCCATGATGCTAGCATTTCTTATCTTATACAAGTTCTTCCAGAGAACAGAGAGCCATTGCTGGCTGTTCCTCCAAACACATTTTCTTCTTTGTGGGCAAAACGCTAGACTGTCTCAGCTTCCCATACCATCAGATGAAGCAATGTAACAGAGTTCTGACCAATGGAATCTGAGGGCAATGATGTCATAAAAACCTTCTGCAGCTCTTTCTTCCCAACTGTTGGGGACAGAGGTGATCCCCAAGGGAACTGTGGAAGTCACAGGTTGATAGCCCCTCTATCAGTCTACTGGATCTGATTGACATCATAGAAAATTCATCCTCACAAGATCTCATATTCTTTGCAAGAGCGTGTTCTATATTCTCTAATATAGAATAGAAAGAAACACTTGAAAACCGGTAAAACTTGGAAACGATGCATTTTGAAACAACATATGGGCAACAAGAAATCTCAAGGAGACAGAGAAAAAATTTTAATGAGTATAATGAAAATATGATGTCAAGCCGGGTTGTGGTGGCTCAGGCCTTTAATTCCATCACTCAGGAGGCAGAGGCAGGTGAGTCTCTGTAAATTTGGCGCCAGCCTGGTCTACAATGAGTATTCCAGTACAACCAGGGATGTTACACAGAGAAACCCTGTCTCCAAAAATCAAAAACAAAAACAAAAATAAAAAGTATATTTCACAGGGGAAAAAAAAGATTAAAGTTTTATTCTCAGTGAATTACAGAACTAGAGTCCATAGTCTAATAGCTCATGTGAGAGATGCTCTAAAGATAAACTATCATTTCTCTTGTGATTTCTGCTTTGCTTGTTTTTGTTTGTTTGTTTGTTTGTTTTGTTTTCTTCCTTTTTTTTTTTCAAGACAGAGTTTCTCTGTAACAGCCTGGATATCCTGGAACTTGCTTTATAGACCAGGCTGACCTCAAACGCAAAGATGTGCCTGCCTCTGCCTCCAGAATGCTGGGATTAAAGTCGTGCACTATCACTGCTTGGCTTTCTTTGCCTGTGTGTGTGGGTTTTTTTTAATTAATTTATTTTTTATTTGCATTGGTGTTTTGCCTCCATGTATGTTTGTGTAAGGGTGTTAGATCTTGGAGTTACAGACAGCTGTGAGGTGCCATGTGGGTACTGGGAATTGAACCCAGGTTCTCTGGAAGAGCAGTCGATGCTCTTAACCACTGAGCCATCTCTCCAGCCCTCTTTGCCTGTTTTTTTTTTGTTTGTTTGTTTGTTTTTGTTTTTGTTTTTGTTTTTTTGAGACAGGGTTTCTCTGTGTAGCTTTGTGCTTTTCCTGGAACTCACTTGGTAGCCCAGGCTGGCCTCAAACTCACAGAGATCCACCTGTCTCTGCCTCCCGAGTGCTGGGATTAAGGCATGTGCCACCACAGCCCGGCTCTCTTTGCCTGTTTTTAAAGTGAATGAACTCAAATGAATTACATAGGCACTCAGTGAGCTCCTTCTGCTATTCCCCGTGGAGAGTCTAAACCTCCTCTTTTTTGATAGTGTTCAATACCATCTACTTACTATTTCTCATTTCAGAACTTTTATCTCCTGCTCTCACATTATGCATCTCCTTTCATGTCTGAAAATGCTATCATTCTTTTCTTTTCTTTTTGAGATAGTGTCTCACTGTGAAACTCTAGTTGGCCTGGAACTTGCTATGGAGACCAGGCTGGTCTCGAAATCACAGAGATTCACTTGCCTTGGACTCCAGAGTGCTGGGACTAAAGGTGTTTGCCATCACAACTGGTTAGAAATATTTTTTTAAGATTTATTTATTTATTATGTACACAGAAGAGGGTGCCAGATCTCATTATAGATGGTTGTGAGCCACCATGTGGTTGCTGGGAATTTTGAACTCAGGACCTCTGGAAGAGCAATTGGTACTCATAACCTCTGAGCCATCTCTCCAGCCCTGGTTAGAAATATTTTTTAAAAAATTATGTGAATATGTGTGGACCAGAATTTACACATGTGTACCGTGTATACAGGTGCCAACAAGCCAGAAGAGGGTATCAGATTTCCCTGAAGCTGGAGTTACAGGTGGTGGGCCACAGGGTATGGGCGCTGTGAACCAAATCCAGGTCCTCCTGCCAGAGCAGCAAGTGCTCTCACCCGTATCTCTCCAGACCCCCAATTCCATTAACCTTATAGTTACATTGACTGGGTAAAAACTTACCTCATATTACACAAGGCGATATCTGAGCCTTCCCTCTTAAAATGATTCTTCAATAACTTGGGACAACTTCTGCATGAATTTACAGGCAACACTAAGATTTTTATTGTGGATGCATTTTTACAGTTCACCAAATTGTTCCTCAATAGAGTTCTTCATGAGGAAAGAGGAAAAAAAAATTTTTGATCAAGAAGTATGTGTTGGCTGGACATGATGGTTCAGGCTTTTAGTCCCAGTACTTGGGAGGCAGACTTAGTCAGAACTCTGTGAGTTCAAGGCCAGCCTTGTCTATGTAGTAAGTTCCAGGTGAGACCCTGTCTCCAAAGGAGAAGGGAGAGGAGGAGAAGGAGGAGCTGTGGTTGACATATTTCCTTCTACATTTGGCCTGTAGGAGGCTGAGAGTTAAGTTTTACTTTAAATATATCTATTATGTAGATTTTCCTATTTTATAAAATATTCTGCCAATCATTCATTTTGACTTCTTGCTGTATTTTTAAATGTCTTCTTTAAGTTTGGCTATATTCCAGACATAAGGAATATCGGTGACTCGGGAGATGGCCCAGTGAGTAAGGTGTTCACCACCTACTGCAGAAAGACCTGGGTTTGGAGTCCAGTCTCCATGTCAAAAGCAGAGTTCAGCAGCATGCGCCTGTAGTTCCAGCACTGTGGTGGCAGAGACAGGCGCTCCCTGCAGCTTCCTGGCCAGGTAGTCTGCCAACAAGCAAACTCCAGGTTTAGGGGGAGACCCTACCTTGGAAATTAAGGTGGGCAGTAATTGAGGAAGACACTCCACATCAACATCTGACCTCCACATGCACACACACACACACACACACACACACACACACACACGCACACGCACACGCACACGCACACGCACACGCACTCGCACAGACACCTGTACTCACATAAGCACACAAAGGAACATGTATGCACACATACAATCATGCAAAGAATATCATATGTATTAAAGACAATGTTCAGGCTTTACCATCATAAACCCGAAAGAAGAGCTTAATATTTATTATGCCCAAATCAATATTTCTAGTTACAAAAAATATGTTCCATTTTCCAAATGGACAATGTAAGTAGTTTCCTTCTTTAGATTTATGTTTTCCATTATAAGCTGTATAGCTAATTCATCCTAAGGCATCGATCTGGACATGGCATTACATTTCAGTACAAGCAAGTTTCATAATAGATGCCAAGACAAAACAATAACTCTTTGCCATAAAATGGAAGTCCAGACAAAGACAACATATTCCATATTCAATAACCGAAACAGTAACTGTAATAAACAAAAACTACAAAGAGAAATTCCTCTGGTCAAAAGAAAATGTAGCGTTCATTGAAGCGCCTCTAGAGACTCATTTCCCCCTCCAGAAGCCAGTCAAATATTGGTGGAAAATGTACTGAGCTGCATTCTGATTCTGCATCTTGACATCTACCTTGGAGAATTACAGGAAAGATGCTTGGAGCTAATGAGTTTTTTTTAAAAAAATTAAATCTTGAAAGAACTATTAAATATTTGTTACTAATCCTGTGAGGATAAAACCCAGCCATTCTTAATTCTCAAAATAGAACACCCACTTTATTACCTGTGCATGTTCCATATAAAATATACTGAGTTCTTTTGAGAAATAAGTGACTTTGTATCCTTGCCAGATCCTTGTCTTAAACTGATGGCTATCTGACCCTTTGAAGTCAGTGTGGGCAAATGAAATCTGAAATATTAACTACGCAATAAGTAAACATTACAAGCAGTAAGTGACCCTCTAGGAAGTGTATCAATATGACAGTAGATTTCTCTTTCTAAAGAAATGCCTCGGGGCAGAGGGGGGGCTTGGGGGGGGGTGGAGAGAAGATGGTAGATTAGAGATGCCCAGGACTTTCCTTTGCCTCCAGAAATCTGAAATAAAACCTCAGGTACATGACTGCAGTGAGGTGTGGATGGCATGGAAAGACCAGGAAGGGAGGAAGTAAACAGCAGACAGAAAAGAGGTAAAATCCAGAAATAGAGGCCCTCGAAGCACTCGGTAAAATGGTGGGGGTGTGGGGAAGTGTAGGGGGGAAGACAAACCTCCCTGGGCTCCGTGGGGCACCAGCTGACAGCTCTGCAGAAATGCAGGTCGGGAAGGAGCATCTACCACGTACAGCGAGCACTGGAGAGGGAGCCCTGCATCTCCTAGCTGGCCCACTACCGCTGTGGAAGGGGATCATTCTAGGGGAGCTCCTACATTCATAGTTTTCATTCAGGGAAAGCAGAAGACCAACAGCTCCCCGACCTCCAGCTAAATGAGTGACCACTGGATGCAACTAGTACTGTGATTTACACACACACACACACACACACACACACACACACACACACACACACAGATCTACTTGGGTTGAAAATGTGAGTCTTTCTGAAGAGGGAATCTGGGGGTGATTACGTCAGGGCAACTTTTGTTGAAATTCTGGTAAAAGGAGAGATCATGGCTGTGTGTCCCACTTGAGGCCAGGGCACTCAGGATTACTCTTGACCCTCTGGCGCAGATGGATCAGCCTTACTCCTTTCTACATTCTCAGAGGGCCAGAGAGACTTGGTGGAAAGCAGCTGCTGCTCTGGGATTTCTGGGGCCAAACACACACTGGCTGGTAGGAGGGGGCATCCAGGAGGGGGCTGGGTAATGTGATCCTTAGTCTCAGCTGGTTGGAGCAGTGGAGAGGGGCTGCTCTGTGCCCTGTTTTGGCAGGTCTGCACACAGAAAAACACTCATAGGAATTCAGCCTAGAAACTGGCATGGTGGCATGACCCTGCAGGAGGGCAGGGCAGGTAAAGACCTGCAAATATCCCTTAGTGCTGTAATCCAGTTGGGCGTCAGAGAGAAAACACCTGCCCAGCACCCCAGTAAAGTGCTTAAGGACAAGCCTGGGGAGGGGACAAAACATTTCCACCCTCTTTCTCTTCAGCAAAGAAGA